ACGATTTGCGTCCCTGGTCATGAGAAAGCACCTCGTGGAAACTGAATTAGTGTCCACTAATTCAAACCCTACGTACGCATGCGTGCAATTACCCAATTTGGAATCAGAATGCCATCATAGTGAACAAAACTGATTCGCTTTACCACAGGACATCCATCCCCTTGCAAACGCGAGGCCATTCTTGATGAATCCACAGCACCACAGGGTTTTCGACATGGCATTACCAGCATCTTGCTGCAGGTCAGCAGTCGAACGAGCGTGAAATCCAGCCATCAGATGCGCTGACAAGCAAGCAGTCCATTGAATGATCAAAGAAGAACTGGCTGAATCACCAAAGCAATTGATCAACAACGAACAGCGTCTTGTAGGAATTTAACATCGTTCATGAATGGTGCTAAATCTAAAACAAGACACTATTCAAGCAATCTAGCCACCAGACAATCGAGCAATCTACCAAGTCGATCGATCCACCAAGCAATCAATGAAAAGGCCCAGACGCTGACAAGGAAAAAGGCAAGCCAGGTGCCGAATCATGCAGCAATCTCGCAGTAACCGGAGGAGACACAATAAAACAATGAGTAACTGGGTCACCCCAACCGCGTTTTCAGGTATTAACGCCATCTATCAGTCAAACATCACGAAATTCACAAATGCCGAAACATGGGATAAGTTAATCAAGCAACCAATCGATCAGTCGACCATGCAAGTCTCATATCAGCAATAAAATAAGCAAACACGCTGTTGCGCAATCGAACAAACAATCAGTCAATCAATCAGTCAATCAGTCAGTCAATCAGTCAGTCAATCAATCAATCAATTAATCACACATGCAATCAAGACCATCAACAGAAGAACGCCAAGCGAACGAGCAACGAAGCTATGAAGCAAGGCAAGGCCAACTCATGCAATTGAATTCAGCTCAACTTCGCTACGCTCAAATACGTTCAGTTGAGTTGAATTCAACCCTCATCAGCCAAATCAATTCACTTCACACCAATTCAGTTCAGTGGAAGAATACTGCTGATCAAGGCAGGTTGATACCCGTCAGCCTATGGCAGGCAACTGAACAATGCTAGGATAGACCACTAGGAAAAGAAGGGCCAAATAACACGTGCTTAAACATGTACACAGCATACGAGATTGGGCTATTTCCATGTTTTTAGCATGCAGAACATTGATGAAATGCATATATATGTGTTCGCAAAAAGTGTTATTTGGTCCTTTTCTTGCTAGTGGAAACAAGATCAACCAAGGCGGAGGGCAAGCCATCTTCTTTCTTCTCTGTCATGGTCAATTGCCTTCACTGCTGTTGACAACACGCATGCTCAGGCCTGGGCCCAAGCCACCGGCAAAGAGCGCTGGGATACGCCATAAGTGTGTAAGCCTTTCCTCAGGAGTCACGTGTTCCCTTTGTGCGCTGGTCCAACCAATTTTGTGCTCTCTTTGATGACAGACTGCCTCTAATCATGGGGCTCCATCGGATCGCCGTGGGCTCGTTCAGTTGGACACCTGACTGGATCCTGTGCATTCAGCATGTCGCGTCATGGCACCTTCCCTTGCAATCTGTAAGGAGCTTGGTCCCATGTGTGATTACTGGACACAGGCCGCTTTGTGTATATCTGGCAGACACCCAGTTGTACGAGTGCGTTTCCCTTGGGAGCACACCTTGGCCTCTCGCTACCCGCAACAGCACCAGCCGTAGAGCCGTGCCGGAGTCAACCTCCCCGACTGGGAGCTGGCGGTGATTGCAGGGGCGATCACCGAGCGCTGACGTTGAGACAGGCCGTAGGTCAGTCCAGGAGATCGCGATGCGCCCCTCCACGCCATCAACAAGAGTCAAAGGACGACAGAAAGAGGCCGAACATCGGGTGCGGTACACTTTTCCAACCGCAGATCTGAGCAATTGCGGGGGAAGGCGTTCTGTTCTCTACTTGCGGGTGGTTTCTGCCGCTAGGATCCGGGCAAGATCCCTTATGTATTCTGTCCTTTTGGCAGGAAGGCAAACGTGGTGCGATTGCTGGCCATCCGCGTTTCCTTGTGGGCAAGGAAACGAGCGGGTTTGCTCGTTTCAAATATTCTTGGTTGTCTGCTGCCCGCCAGGAATGCGGATGTTGTTTGATGGTCTGAACTGAGTAGGCACACAAGCCATGCCCAGCGTGTCGTTGTTTCGCCATTGACGGATACATGCATTCAACTTTAGATTTTCCTGCGCCGTTTGGAAGTCAAGGTGGTGGCGGAATGCAGGTCTGGGCAGAGAAGGGTTGGACTTTGTCCATCTTGACTGGGACATGCACTGAAATGGACGCATTGTTACACAGAAGAATATGTCATACAATGGGCTCTCTCCTCTTAGCAAAATGATGGTGATACTCTGTTCCATATTGTGTCATGCTGCGGGCGATCAGCACAGCCTTCTGGTTGCAGATAGCTTCTTTGCAACAAGGAATGGAAATCACAGAATTGCCCGCCCACCTTCCCCCCTAACACCTCCCTCCCACCTTGTGCTAATGAAGCAATTTCTGCGCGGCCCAGTGGCACACCGTTGTGAAGTTCTGAACAGCGAGAAGAGCACGGCTACAATCTTAGGGCATGCCATCCACACAAGTGCAAAATTTTTTGTCCACCCTGTCCACACAAAAGGCACCTGTACAAATATTGCATCAAAACATCACAACATGGAAGGTGCTGCAGCCAATCCCATGCAAAACAAAGATAGAATGCAGCACAGTGGCATGAAAGGTAACAATGACGCTAGTCTGGTGCTAAAGCTCAAGAGGAATTAAACGATTGAACTCATCTTGAACAGAAGGAACAAATGCTCAAGACCCGCATTTTGTTGCATGCCATCGCAGATGGTCATGTCGTGTGTCACAACACATCCATGACAGCTTGCCATTACAGGTCCAATGTATTTAGGGCATGTCTTGACACAGGCTATCAGCTTTGCAAGTGGGCTTGAGAATGGATGGCCCACTGTTTGCTACTTGTACATACAATATCATGAATATCTTTGCAGCATGGACCACGGACAGGATCAGCGAACTACTCCTGACACGTTCAATTGATGCCAATTCATGATTTGAATTCCTACGCTGTGGACCCCATGCTACCTATGCCAGAACATTGCACTTGCAGTTTAGGACATCGATATGCATCTTTACTACATCACAGTTCGTCAAACCCAACAATCACAAACTGGCTGGTCCCACATGCCAATACATTGCATTGTTCTCTTCAATACACTGACTACATGCAATGCAGACATATGGCAGGTGATTCGATCATGTTGTGCCACACATAATGTTTGGAATCGAGACATTCCCCCCCAGCGTGGCCTGCATGATGTGATGTGCATTCTGATTCAATAGTTGATTCATTATGGAACTGCATGTCCATGACTGGCAGGAGGGCAAGCGGAGGCTGGTCTGGTCAGAGACGTGTCCCTCCAAAAAGAGATCCAAGGTGGGCTTTCATGCTTGTTGGCTCATCGGAAGCGTTGAATACCCTTTGGGAGGAGAGAGTGAGTTCAAGGCCAAAGTGCTAAGTATCAAGTCTCTAGTAATTAGTGTTGAGTACTAAGTGTGTGCTTGTGTTTGTGTGAGGGCTTGGTACTTAGTAGTCAGCACCTTGTTGGTACTAAGCACAAAAGGCATTCAAGACTTGGCATCCCCTGCAGATGCATAGTCGCACCTTCATGTCCTGCACATGTGCAACTTCCACATAGTTGTGTTTCAAACACAATTGTTTCAACAAATTGTGTAAAGGTTACAAAGCACCACCCTTGGAACCTGCAAAGTGGTGAAACTATCCTACAAGTAGTTATCCGTGGATTGTTACCACATGCCAATGCACAGACAAACAATCAGTGCATCCACAATTTGGCTACTTTGTGAGCTCAGGCTCAGCCTATCTGCAAATTGTGGGGACTTTTATTACCATAAATTATATGGGTGTTATATCTGTATGGGTACTGGCATCCCCCAGAATGGTGAGCCAGCTTCCACACCCAAATTTGGGGCTGGAACTTGTTGATCTCCATTGCCATTGTCAAGACAACTGCACTGCAATTACTGCAAGATGCCTCGCAAGGCATCGAAGTGGCGTGAGAGAAAGTGTTGCTTATCGCCCCGATGAGGTGGTGTAAAATTTGGGGAATGGCCTCCAGAACGGGAATGGCAAATCGACTGTTTTGGGAATTCGAAAGGCTTGGGCATGAGATGAACTTTTACATGGCTAAAGCCATTTCTCTCTCAATGGCATGGATCAGCTGTTTTGGAGGGTTTGAGTTTTCTTCAAAGAATGGGTATCAAAAGGTTATGGGACAGAATATGACTTTTTAATGCTTGAAGGCCGTTTTAAGTTGAAGCCGTTCTTGAAATAGGCCACATTTAATGTGGGAAAAGGAAGTATGTACACACATGAATGTGCTTTGCTTGTGTGAAGCGCAGCTTTAATTGTGGATTATGCCAAATGTGGTGCCCATTCTTATGTGTTTAGGTTCTTTATTTGCTATCATGCTTCCTGCCCATGTTGCACCCAGATCAACTGCCGTATGCACTTGATTGCAATGGGAAATAGGCAACAAGACGCTCTCTCTCCAGCTGAATGATGGCTATTCGCACATTGCCATCCACAATATTGTTGGAGAAGGATGCTGCCAACGCCGATCAACAGTCCATGTTACCATGTGTATTGTGTTGCGTGGCATTGTTGAATTGTGCAACGCTTTTGTGGTGGTACTCTGTGATACGGCATAATAATGTGAATAAAGCTGTGTGGTAATGCTGCACATGCCGTTTATGCAAACAAGAAGGCAAAAGAAGGTTGGGCGGTGGTATAAGACACTCAACAATATTGTAAGGGAGTCAATCATACAACCACCCCTCTCTTTCACACTCAGCCCATGGGGCACATTAGACAGCAAGGCCCTTGGGCCTTTGGCAATCAACAATCTACCTGATTGCAAAGAGGACCTGTGCAGCACACCCTCATACAGTGCAGTTGAATTTCGGCACAATTGCCAGAACTCAATGCGTTGTTGTTCACTTTGAACCTAATCTCAAAATGTTCAACCATTGTTTTCTGCTCTTTGTTGCTACACCGCCCAAACTATCATGGCTTGGCTGCAATTGCTTTCTGCATTCACCAACCATCATCACCATTCTTACTTTCCACGCAGCCCCTAACATTACATAGATGCATATTTACTTGTTGCCCACATCCTTGACATATAAAAATGCCTCATTCATTGTACAGTACTGTTGCTAATTCCCAATGCCACCTTATGGGTAGCCCCAATCGCACTGCTACAAAAGAAAATAACACATTAATTGTGCACTAGATTGCATTGGCCGCCAACTAACAATCCATTTCCTCATCATCGTAGGCGTTGGGTGGCACAGATGTCCAGCAGCAAACCCAAGGCATGGTTACCTCCCTCGAATTAGAGCTGGCAGCAGGGACCCAGGAATTACAAGCTACAACAAGGGAGTTCGAGCCACTGGATAGGGGCAATAGAAGTGAAACCGCCAAGATAGAAAATGCAATGTATGAGACAATCAATTAGAAGTCTCCATGTAATCCATTCATTTTAATAGTTGTTGATCATCAGAGTGATTGCTTGGGAAACTGCTAACCCCCTAGTGAGGCCCACCTGCCGCTGTGAAAAAGACAACCGCTGTAAAATATTCTTTGGATTTTGATTTTATCCACCTGCTTGTGGTTGCAAGTAAGTGCAGAACTCTACACGTGTGCTTGCGCGATGGGTGGGAGAGAGAGCTCTCGAATGTCGGTGACAATTACAATTTGGTGTCTCACTTCAGCAGTTCTACATCTGAATAACAAATTCTATTTACATCAATCAAAATTTCAGCAATATCATTATTATCCGGCATCCACCATTTCTCCAATTCTTGGCCGTCCTGCAAGGCGTCTCCTTGCAAAGTCAGATAGTCCCACAATCAATATGCTATATATCCCTACGAAGACAAAGCAACTTGTTCCCATAAACGCAATTATATGAGTGCATATTCCTGGATCGTGGAGTTTGGGGTTTATAAAAAGTCGAGGGGTAGGCCATGCCTGTACAGAAATCTTGTTAGTATAATAATGACAAAACAATGTGGTATGTCCATTGACATGATGTTGTCCCATGCATAACATAATATTAATGCAGTTTTGAATGAATACCTGTATCTGGTGCACAACATTGTGAAGCACTGGGGCAATGTAAAAAATTGTTTATGCTGCCAAATACTATATGCTTCCTCCATCCCAGATTAATTGTCGTCTGCTTGAAAGGCTAAATTTGTTATAAGGACGGCCTCAGAATCTCAAAACAAGGTCAAAATCGAAAAGACCCTGGAATATCGATTTTCGAGAAGGAAAAGTGAGACATGACCCTTTTGAGCGCAAGGGGGAGGTAGATTTTGGTCATTTTCCACCCAAAATATTGAGATTTACTATGGAAAAAGACGCTTGATACAAAGTACTGCCAAATCCTCAATATTTGATGGATTGACATGAAAATTCTATGGTGTAGTCATAACTCAAAAACACAACCGTAGGCGAAATTTCATTGAAAACAGGTGCGGGCATGATGGAGAAATAATTCCCCAAAATCTTAGACGACAATTAAACTGGGACGGAGGAAGTATAATATTGGCGTCAGATGGTGTTGGTGAATAGCAATGGTGGTAGTTTCGTCAAATCGTTGTAGGGTCTAATAGCAGTGGCGGTGGTAATGTGATGATGAGCAATAATAACGTTCATACCGGATTGTCATGGTAACACACTTGTGTGGCTAGGACAGTAGTTGACAATGCCCATGCAGACAAAACGTGGAATTGCTTGGTACATTGGCTGCACAGCAAGCAACACAATTTGCCTGTAAATCGATTAGCATTGACTATAACGGAATTGCTAATATTGGTCCGTTTTGTCTAGATGTCAAGAGGAGCTGGCTCACTGTCAAAATGCCATACGTGTTGAGCAGGTGATTGCGAAATTCATTGCAATGGGAGTGGGTAGCACACCGTAATGGAGGAAGCTTTTGAGCACAGCACAGTGGTTCCATACAATTCTAATGTTCCTTGTTGCCACAAAGCATTGCCAATACTTGGCAATAATATTGACTAATAACGTGCAAGTAACTATGCAAGTGCCAAGAACATTGCAGGCAAAATGGCGGCTTCTGACAAGAGCAAATTGTGAATGCCGCATGGAGCTTCCAATTTCGTGTGAAATGACGCATCGTGATTGCAGTGACTTGGCTCAAAAATTTTCCAATGCTTTGATGCCAACCCAACGCAATGTGCATCGTGAAACGTGTAGCGCATGCCATGTGTTGTGGATCATATGTGATGAGCATTATGTGCAGTGGGCTGTTTGTACCTATTGTTTCCATTTGAATGGTTATCCTAAACTGAAGCAATGCTATGTGCATTCTATGTACATTTCTGAGCCACGTTTTGCAGAATCGGTCTATCAGTGCACCAAAGGAAAAATAAATACAACAGACAGTAAGTACAAGATGTGACACTTAGCGATTCGGTCTTTCACCTACTTGTCGCCACTCGCATCTACTTTTTTCTATTTATAGTTGACTTGTAATTTTGTATCTATGTGTTTTCTGTTGCATCTAATTCCATTTTGGTGTCTATTTCAGAAATAGACACCGAGAAGAAGAAGAATCCAGAAGAAGCTTCTGTCTATTTGATTTTTGGTTGGAAGAGGTGGATGAGTATATATCTTTCTTAATGTTTTTCGCTTTGAAGATTGCAGTTTGGAAAGTTAGAACTTCCAAAGACAATTTTCATGGATTTTAAGTATTGGCCTGACCGCAGGTAGAGAAGGCAGCCTTGCAAAAGCGTGTTGCACAGTTGGAAAGGAGCCAGCAAGAGCTGGAGGTGGGTTAATGGGAGTAGAGAGATTGGTCGGACATTGGGCGCTCCCCGCTTAAAGCAAATTGGTTGTCCTGTTGTCTCTTTTGTGCAGAATACGCTTGAACACATTTGGGGCTGTGCACGACTAATAACTACCGGCTTTCCCGTCTTATAAATTATGCTGGCCTGGAACCTTTTCCAACTATTTACGCATGACTCCATGCTGCCAGAAAGAATTTCAGCATGATCATTAATGGCACGGCAAACTGGCTTGCACTTTCGTAGTATATTGGCACATTTGTGCTTGTGCACATTATTCACATTGTTATGCTTATACGTTTTAAAAGAAGTAATGTTGGGAATGTTGATTTGCTCTTTGTTTCGTTTTGCTTCAATGCTGAGCCACCCGCGCGTGTGCCAAAAGATGAGATGCTGACCACAGAATGCTCAATAAGGAGGTAGAGGAATATTCTAAAATTTCCACCTATCTACAGAGTAGGATTTTGGAGTACATTGTCGATAAGTGCTCCATCGACGCACTTTGCTGATATACTGCACGGGGAACACATCTCATTTGCCTGAATTCGCGGAAATGGATGAAAATCAGCCAATTATGATGCACCTTTTGTACAAGACATTCGCACAATACTTGAGTGGACATGCCAGTTCTCAAACCTGGTTGACGGGAAACAAGCACTGCCATTCATCGCATTATGCGCCGACTAGTGCTGAATGCTTGGGAATGATAAGTTGCAATTTATGGCCCGCAAAAGACGTGCCATACAGAGCCCTATAATATGCTGCACGTTGTCTGTTGTGTGACATGCTGTATGTAAAATGCTCGTGAATTCAGTTATTACAATGTTCTAAGTTGGAAAACTTGAAATAATATTTAGTAAATTCCTCACACCGCTCAGTTTTTCTTCAGGCAGAAAATGTGGAGATGAAGGAGGAGGCGGCGCAGGCACAGAGACTTCAGAAAGACCTGAAGGTACGTAAGTACCACCAGCGACAAAGTGACACTTTCAACAGGATTAACGGCGATTGTAAGACGTTTGCGGAATCGAATCCCTGAAAATCGATTACTGGTAATAATATGCATTTGCAATGAATTGCCGTGTCGATATCATTGGTATCCGCATGGTGCATGCTTACAAATGCGCCCGTGTGAGCAGGAAAATAATGTCTGAAATGGGTAGGCGTTAATCATGCACATGCGCTCTGTCGGGTAGCCGCGCCGCGACTATTTCATTGTCTTGCGCCAGTCTTTTGTGGTGTAGCCTTGCCTCTAAAGACACGTTTATGGAAAGGCCAATCTGCGATTTGTGCCTCTCCACTTTTGCGGAGGGGAATTGCATCAACAGTCTCAGTACGTTCTTATGTACGATGAGTTGTCAAAATTTTTTAAGCTGCAATGGATTCTTACTTTCCATTGATATCCCATCCGGAAGGACCTGGGAGGCTGTGCGCATTAACTTGCGCAATTTGGATTCTTACATGCCTGGTTTTTGTTTGTTTATTACTGCCGCCTTTCTACCTTTGATAATTCGGTATCTATCTTGCGTGCCCATCTTTTACTTTGTCAGCTTCACCGCAATGCCCGCAGAGCCCACAGCGCTTCTGCATGCCCAACGCAAAGGCGCAGTCCGCGATGCATGTGTAGCTCTATATGTGCTTTAGGAGGTGATCAAGTGAGCTTGGGTGCTTGCTTAAACACTTGAACACCATCGTCGTGTGCATAATGATGTGTTTCTGACAGGGCTGTTGTGATTGCAGGCTAAAAACATGCATCTTGAGGACAGGGTGTCGCATCTAGAAAGGAGAAACCTCTCCATGCAGGTTTGCCACCATCCATTGCATGTGCTGGCAGTGCCATGTGTGATCTGCGGGACATGCTCGAGCATGTGAAACGCCCCATTTCCAGGACATGGCGCTGTTTGTCAGCAGATTGCCAATGTAGGGTCAGACCAGTATGTTTGGTGTCAAACTTATTGGTGGCATTTTCGCCACTTTCCAGAGATGGTGACTCCCTTTCTCGTGTGTGCGCTTCTATTCATGCAGGAAGAAAATGAGAACCTGAAGAAGCGCATTGCATTCTTGGATGACCCTGAAAAGCCTTTTCAGTCTGAGGCTGTTCGGGTGAGGGAACGGGTCTGGTCTCTATGGGTCGCAAAATCTATAAACAATATTGAAACAGAATCAGCGTTGAACAAAAGAAAATCTAAGTCGGCTTTGAGTATTTCTGAGAATCTATTCGTTAAGCACTTTAAATATATTCTGTGTAAAATGTGACATCACCTGCAAATTGCGACAGGTGTCGTTGTTTGAATTGGGTTTGCCCACCATCAACATTTAGGCAAACATGGTGCGAAATAGAAAAACCGGTAGTGCTTTGTCGTATTCCTTTGTTCCATTGTACTTTGTTGTTGCTGTAGACCCAGGGCCTTGTTATAGCGTTGTACCATCGTCGCGTTGGCAAGTCCTGTACGGGCTTATGCGCTGGGGCAATGAAGAAAAGGAAGGCGCGCAATTCCGGGAAAACTTTCAACAAAGGTGATGGCGCCTTATGTTCCGCGTTTTGATGCACCTGCTCGCGAAGCTACCTTGAAGCTACTTGTGATTTTGGGACTGGGGCTCGTCATTTTGAACACTTCAGAACCGTTAATTGCTGGCACTGTAAAAAAGTCCAATCGTTGCCTTTGATCGCCGCCTTGGCGCCTTCCACGCAGCGTCGGACGCTCGGGCCATGAGTCGTCACTTGTTGCCGATAGGTCCCCTTGTTGCACCACTGAATTCCATTCCATGTTGTTAACTAATCATAAAATTAACACATCTGTGATGTGAATGGAAAAAGCTTTATTCAATACTTCCTCCGTCCTAGATTTATTGTCCTCTATTTGAAAGGTAAATTTCGTTACCTAAACGGCTTCTAAAGTACTAATACAGGTCAGAATCGAAAAGATTGTGTCCCAAAACCCTTGACTACCCATTTTTGTGGAAAAATACTCATCCCCACTAGTTTTGATGCTCCCTTGAAACGGCCTAAGATTTGGCCAAAATGTGCATTCTGATTGCGTGGCCGTTGGAGATCCAAGTGGTTCTGTATTGCCCAAGCACTTTAAACCAAAGTCGTTGTTGCCTTTGTAGCGAAGGGCAGCGTCCCTCACGTGGTATAGCACTTGCCAAACATGCTTAACTGTGTTTGGATCCCCATCGAACAAGCCCGTTATCACGGCATCGACGTTGGCAGAAATCGCCGCCCTCCCTGATCTCCGATGCAAAAGTTTGCCACAAGCGGAAAAGCCAAACGCTCAACACGCTCAAGTTTGGGCTCTGTGTGTGCTATCATTCTAAGGTTGTGCTATAATTTCTCTAACATAGCACCTTGATTAATCTTTGAATCGAGGCCTTCGTGTGTAGCTGGGGCCACACTCCCAAAATTGGCACTAGCGGCCAACTTGTGCATGCGGTCGACAACTCTTCCCAATCTACATAGTCTCTACCTGTGAGAGAGACACCAAATGATCTATCTGACACTTCGCTTCGCGTTCCACCTTTATAATTGTCCAGGCAAATGTTGGACTTTGCCATCCACCTTGGAAGCCATTTCCTCAATCGTCCACCGTTGAGTAGGGTGATGGCCATCACATTCCTTCACACCTCTTCGAGAGGCTTGGGAGGCCTTGCGCGGTAACCCTCACAGAATCGATGAAGTTTTAGAGGTCACAACCCAGAAATCTTGGCTGGCAATGCATCACCGAACTAGCCAATCGATCTCGAATTATGTCAGCGAAGCCACAGCGACCTCTACGATCAAGCCCACCAAGACACGTTTTCTACCACTTTGCTTCTTTGCAGGGACCCCTCCGAGCTTCTGTCCAAACGGCATGGATAGTTTTGCATGGGCGGTCTTGTTGGCTGCCGCAAAATCGTGCTCCTCACCATTGCAAAAACGGCTATTTCGGTGACTTTGTTGAAAAACGGATGGGTTTTGGACGGGAGGACCCTGTTACAAAGTGCTGCCAAATCATCAATACTTAATGGATTGACCTGAAATCAAGACTGTATACTCCCAGAACATAGTCGGACCACTGGCGGAAATTTTATTGAAAAATGAAGCATCTATGTTAGAGAAGTAGGGAGGCAAAATCAGAGAGGACAATTAATCTTGGATAGAGGAAGTACTTTATAAACGGGCTGCATTTATGGATCAATTGCGCACATTGTAGGATAATTGGATCAAGTGTAACTCCCTTCCGTTCAAAATGTCCCATTGCGCCATGCTATAAACCTATTAGGTAGCATATTTGCACAACGTCGATCCCACTATCGTGGAATATTGTTTCAATGTCATGTTAATAATTTCGCTGTATTTGGGCTGGTGCTGGCGGCACCCGCCACCATAAATATTATATTGATCTCAGCATTTTCGGTGCCTAAGCTTGCAGTTTCGCGGCAGAACCACAAGTGACGGTGTTGAAGGTGGCAGCGTGACTATACTTGCCACAGGGATCTGTGCAATATTACTATCAACCCCAAGCAAAACTACTTGCTCTAAAAGATACCCTAAATGCAGGCCTTTTTGAGACATAACACTTCCATCGCATCTGTGATTGTCTGCCTCTAAAGTTTCCTACAGGTGCGGTTATGTTACAACTCTTTGACATAAAATGGCTGAGGTATCAAACCTGGCGAACGAAGGCGGTAGTACATTGTAATGTTGGCAGTCAAGTCACTGGCGGCTCTGGCGGCCTACTGGCGGTTCCGCCATGGCGGAACCGTATCAACTGGCTAAACGTTGGTTACAGCCTGGTGCCCGCCACTGGATGTGAACTTGCCCCCGCGACTGCTCCCCAAGGCCTGGTGTCGGCCAAGCGACAACTTGTATGCAATGCATACACACAGGATGCTCACAATATTGTGATGCCATCACAAAGTGTGAAGATGAGATAAAACACACACAGGGTCTCGGCACAAGAATATTACAAGTATTGTACAACCCAAGAAGATTACGCCTGTGTTAATCCCCGCCAGGATCTGTGGAATGAAGGCGGGGAAGCTCCCGCCTTAGACACTCCCGCCAACATGGCCATAAGTGGCCATCTCCTCCCACCCACTGCTCATTCACCACTGCCGTCCAAGGGATGACCTCCTTTTGGCCCGTAAGGAACCACGGGAGGTTTAGTTGGACTTCTTCACTGATGAAGGGAGGGTTGTCGGGGTCACAGTTCTCCACAACGCCTTCACAAGCGTAGTACTGCACTTCAAAGTGGCGCACGTAGTATCCGTTTTCTTCACTGGGGTCGAATACCCTGGTGACTCTGGCGATGTCAAACACCCGGGCCCAGGCATCGGCGTCTTCGTCTGCCATCCGAATGGCGACAGTCACCCCGGGGGCAACGTCGTGCTCTGGTCGGAACGGTCTCACGTCGGCAGGTCTTGGGGCCCTGTGTGAGTGACCAAAGAACATTGCACGCTCCCCTGGGATGGGGCCCACGTCCCTGTACAATGGGCGGGTAGAACTAGTCAGTAACCGCATGCCACATTGGGAGTCAAACCACAACACTGATATCAAAGGTTGGACGTTACCAAAGGGGCAAATGGGAAGAAACATACAACATGCAGTACAGACCAAGACCACGCAATGGCAGCCCCCGGGGCGGAGATGCCACGCAGGCAGTGTGCTGAAGGTCATTTATACAAAGGCAGGGTGTTTGTGCACGACAGATGAGATGATGGGCCCAAAGGTTTTTTTATGGATATGAAACAATGTGGCAGAGGTGGTATGTTGTGCACAAAAACCATCACACCTTTCCACTACGGGACCAAGCTCAGTGGTGGGCCCCTGGCTAGGCACGGGCAAAGGTCGTCCTCGTCCCCGCGGCCACACTCTGCCACCCTGAGGGATCCTCCCACTCGGTCGTCGACGTCCCCTTCCGGAAAGGTGGACCTGTGGTCCTCAATAAAGGTTTCCCGCCACCGTAAGGCGTGGACGTAACGCGCCCTTAGGACGGTGGCAGGGCCCTCCTCGCCAGACAAACCAGCTGTGGAGGCAAGTAGGCTTCTGAGCTTGCCGACGAACTTCAGTGCCCTCTCTCGTATCCCAGCGAATTGTTGGAGCGGCGTCCTTGGCTCCAGAGATAGGCTATCGAAAGAGGGTATCACAGCATCCTCAAGGAACACTGGCCACCCGCCGCCCTCTGGCCGCCCCACCCAGGCCTGGCCGGGCAAGTCGTGTTCTCTACCGTACACCACAGGGCGGCCACCCTCCATCCGGAAGAGGAATGCGTGGTAGCACCTATCATTGCAATCCGCGATGTCACACTTAGGACGGCAAGAAATTGCTCGGTTTGGAGTTTAGAGGCAAAACCGAAATCTGACCGAGGTGCACCTGGCGCAGCTATGGCACAAAAGGGAGCAAGCCCTCCTTGCAAAAATATATTCATGTCCAGGTACACTTCCCCCCTTTTGGCACAGTGACGGTTCCGCGATGGAGGAACCGTCAGTGTCCCAAGAATGGCGATTGCTCCGAACACGTATGGCCCCCTTTTGTCACAGCTGCGGTTCCGCGATCGCGGAATTGTCAATGCAACAAAAACGGCGGCCTCAACGAAATTGCAAGGCCACCTTACGTCAAGTGAACGGTTCCACGATCGCGGAACCGTCAATGCAACAAGAATGGGGGCCTCTCCGAGACAACAAGGCCATCTTTTGGCACACTTGCGGTTCCGCGATCGCGGAACCGTCAATGCAACAAGAACGAGGGTCTCTCCGAGACCACAAGGCCACCTTTTGGAACAGTTGCGGTTCCTCGATCGCGGAACCGTCAAAGCAAGGAGAATGAGGGTCTCTCCGAGACCACATGGCCACCTTTTGGCACAAGTGCGGTTCCGCGATCGCGGAACCGTCAATTCAACAATAATGGGGGTCACTCCGAGACCACATGGCTACCTTTTGGCACAGGTGCGGTTCCGCGATCGCGGAACCGTCAAAGAAAGGAGAATGGGTGTCTCTCCGAGACAACATGGCCACCTTTTGGCACAGGTGCGGTCCCGCGATCGCGGAACCGTCAATGCAACAATAATGGGGGTCACTCCGAGACCACATGGCCACCTTCTGGCACACTTGCGGTTCCGCGATCGCGGAACCGTCAATGCAACAAGAACGAGGGTCTCTCCGAGACCACAAGGCCATCTTTTGGAACAGTTGCAGTTCCGCGATCGCGGAACCGTCAAAGCAAGGAGAATGGGGGTCTCTCCGAGACCACAAGGCCACCTTTTGGCACAGGTGCG